CTATGGCCCGTGACCTAAGGAAGATCCCTATTGATTTTGAGGTCAAAGGTCAGGGTCATTAATTTCAAAATTCTGTCTTTTTTTCGCATAATATCTCAAAAAACCTTTAAGCTTTTATATATAATGATACTTTATATCACAATTCTAAATGTCCCTCGCTTAAAGAAGAACTCTTTTTAATTTTTGAACAAAAGGTAATAGGTCAGGATCATAAATTCATACATTTTATGCATGTGCGTCATCGGTCCATCTGTCTGTAAACAAGTTTTCAAAATGCTACTCCTCATACAGTTTTGATCTGATTTCAATATAACTTGGCACACAAGTAGTATACACTAAGATACATAATTTAGAGCATCAGTTTTTTGTCCCCCGCTTGAAAAGTGGGGGATATTAATTTGGGTTTGTCCGTCCGTCCGTCCGTCTGTCCGTCCGTCCGTCCGTCCGTCTTTCTGTCTGTCTGTAACGCTTTCGTTTCCACACGATATCTCGAGAACCCTTTGAGCTTTTGCAATGAAATTTAGCATAGCAACTCCCTATGGACTAAAGAAGACCCCTATTGATTTTGAGGTCAAAAGGTCAAAGGTCAAGGTCATAAATAAGCAAATTCTGTCTGTTAAAACACTTTCGTTTCCACACGATATCTCGAGAACCATTTGAGCTATTGCAATGAAATTTTATATAACAACTCCCTGTGGCCTAATGAAGACCCCTATTGATTTTGAGGTCAAAAGGTCAAAGTTCAAGGTCGTAAATTTATACATTCTGTCTGTATGTAATACTATCATTTCCGGGCGATATTTCAAGAAGATTTTGAGCTTATGCAATGTAATTTTATACCAAAACTCCCTAAGACGTCTCTCGCCCCTCTCAAAGTACCCCGCCCCGTTTGTTTTATTAGTATTTATAGTATTACGTGTCGCTATTTTTAGCGCAGGTGCATGAGGAGAGTTATTGCGTATAAAACAGGTTCTCGGCGGACTTTATGTTCTTATTACATCTATTAGAACTGTTTAATAAAGGCTAAATAAATCAAACACCATGGATTGTGTAAAATTTTGAGAATACCGAACATGAAAACATGAATATATACATGTATGTGACTTCAATTCCGCATATACTTCACTGAACGTAAAGCGATTCCGTGGTCTAGTGGTTATGTCTCTCGCTTCAAATGTGAGAGGTCCCGGGATCGAATCTCGGTCGATCCTTTCTTTTTTTTCTTTTTTTTTTAAATACTTTTTTTTTTTACTAAATGATAGTATTCAGCATGTGAAATGAAAAATTTATGAGGTTATAAAATCATCATTACAGTGTGATAAACATTCCATATAAAAAAATCTTCTATACACATAATAAAGAATAAGCAATCAAATCTTTGTATGCATATTGACATACATGTATTTTATTTGCTTCAGTATACACGTATACATTTAATAATTCTACAAATTCAGTCAGGGGGAGCCGACTTTTTCCCTAAGCGGGGGACACGAATTCTTTGAATTAGCTTGTTTATTTTGATGAATGGTGTTGTCTTGGTTATTAAAAATAGAAATTTCTGTCAAATTCCTTTAAAATGCTACCCCTTCTACAGTTTTGGTCTGATTTCAAAATAATTTGGCACACATTCAAGTAGACTATGCTAATATACGTACAATATGCAATTCTATTTATTACTGCCTATTGCAAAGTTTCAAATCCAGGTGCAACTTTTCCTTTGTTATATGTACAGACATGTAGAGCTACAGTCTCATTAATTTAACCCCTGTCCCTCTGTCCCCCACTGCCCCTCTGCCTGTCCCTTTGTTCCGCTTTATTTCTGTCTTAATTTTTGACACTATTGGTATTTTGTAAAGTTTTGACAATGGAGAACATGACGTAAACATGTATTGGATATGTATGTGACCTATTGTTGTCCCAGTAGCTGAAAGTGTGAAAGTAAATTCGATTTGTCTGTCCATCCGTCAGTAGTTCTGTCTGTGCATAACTCTTTCATTTCCGTGCGATATCTGAACAAGCCTTTGAGCTTTAGCAATGAAATTTTACAGATTTACTCTCCATGGCCTATAAAAAAAGAATCCTTTGTAATTTTTATGTCAAAGTTCAAGATCGTAAATTTATACATTCTACTGTGTGTAACACTTTTGTTTCCACTGGAAATCTCAAGAAGCTTTTGGAATGAAATTTCATACCATAACTCCCTCTCAAAGTGTGCTGCCCCGTTTTAAAAAATAATTATTTATTGTATTAAGGAGAGTTATTATGTATAATACAGGTTGTTCACCGTTGTTGGCAGACTTTATACTGTAAATCACAAAATTTTCGCCACACCTTATTTTCGCAAGATAGTCATTGACTCTTGATAAGTGAGACAAAATTTTCACAAATAGTGGTTCCTGCTTTATTATGGCGTCGGGCTTGCCCGATCATCATCTAGGGATCAGTCAGGTTTAGGCGACTGCACGTATCAGTGGATGCATCCGCAATAGAAAATAGCAACAGCTGTAAACCAATTTCTTTTAAAACGTTCACAATGAATAATAGCTTGAAAATAAAATAAAATCAATTGTATCTTCAATTAATGCTACTACAAAACAACAATATTATGTTTAATTTTTACGCAAGAAAAACATTAGCTTAATATGTGAGAGGTCCCTGGAGAATCCTGTTCAATCCTTTTCTTTTTGGATTTACTAAATGAAAGTATTCAGCATGTGAAATGAAAAAGTTATGACATCTGTTTGTACAAACTCATAAAATCATCATTACACTGTGATAATTATTCTAATATAAAAATGAATCTTCTTTACACATAATAAAGAATAAGCAATCAAATCTTTAAATCCATGTAGGCATTTTTTCATTTGACATGTATAGATTTAATAATTCATAAATCTGCAAATTCGGGGTAGAAGTTTGATTCTTACTATGCATGCAATAAGCCCACGGTTTGAATCCCTGTTGAGGTTTTAAAAAAGAAAACAATTTTTATCAATTACTATGAATAATAGAAAATTTAGCAACTTCAATGTGGAAGTTGTGACAAATGACATGTACAATTTTCCTCTTCGTAATTTTTAATGTTTATTAAGCGCCCTTTAAAACTGGTGTGCTTAAAGTTTATAGACGTAAGAGCTGTTTGTGATAACTTTGCAATATTGCAAAGTTAATTAACACAAACAAACAAAGTGCAAAAAAAAAGGACACATTAATTTAAAACGCACATTTGAAGTAATTTAACAGGGTTAATTTTTTTTATCAAATTGTGTCAAAAACGATGCACATTTTGGTTTTCCTAGAGTATTGAACATGCATCCATATACATGTACATAGTTCCTACTGTGTATTCTAACGCGCAGTGACAAGGTTTCGGGTGTGTTATAGAGATATTTGAACTTAGTGGATTTCTAATGGATTTTATAAAGAAAATTACACGGAATGTAAATATAAACCAATATATGCCTTTTATTGTCTTGTTATAGCATATGGGCATAATTTTAGAGAATTATTTTCTTTTATATATGTCGATCCTGCTCTCTAAGAAGAGTAAAGTTGACTTCACAGCAGGAATCTGTTTGGTTAACAATTTGAAATTTAATTTTTAGCTGGAAAAATTCAAATGTGAACTATGTACAATTAATATAAATCAAATCATCCTCTGGAAGTGGATCATTAAGAAACAGGATAAATACTAAACTAATAAATTGTTAAAAAGATAAGGGCTATTGATGTATCCAGCTAGACTTTAAAATATACTTATTAAGACCATCAAGGGGTATACTGTATAAGTGGAAATTTTAGCGAGACGCAAATTTCTACCTAAAATCTGGTATTTTTTTTTTTTAGCAAGAAGTAATTTTAGCAATTTTAAAATGCTAACTAAAGAAGCTTTATTACACATAATACGCAATTAATTTTTAGTGATATTCAATTTAAGCGATGTCAGCACCCTCGCTAATAATGCCAAAATTAAACCCTTGCTAAAAATTCTACTTTAGTACTTAGGCTGTTCTTAAAACATAGAGATAATTTTATCCTATTTAATATTCATGTACAGTATATATTTTACTGCTTGATCTTTTCTTGTTTTAACTTCATTTAAGATATACATGTAACATAATTATTGCATGTACATATGCAGGAACCATCAGTACCGGCTTTGAGATTAACATTAACTATTCTTAATCTTCACAATCGATATTCTCAATTCTAACTCATAATTATAAGCATTATTTTTATAAAAATTTCAAATTATTATAATATTACCACTCAGTTGTCTCTCATTGGATGTTCTATAGCTTTCCTTACTTTTAATGATGTTGTAATTACAGTAGAACTCGGTTATAACCAAGTCACTGGGGCCTATGAAATTACTTCGCTATATCCATAATTCATTAAATTTATATAGCTTGGGATTCAAAATAACTTCGCTATATCCATGAATTTACTATTTCTGTGTTCGTACTAAACGAGTTTTGCTGTATGATATAAAATTCAAAATTTTCAGAAAACAAAACACAAAAATACATTTCCTTGAGAGAGGGACATTAAAACTAGTGAAGTCATTTGCGAGAAAGTAGCAAAATGTGACTTTAATAAACTTTGCCTTAGCTGTTGATGCAATTTACAGAAAGAAAAGCTTTCCTTTTATTATGGGTACATATTTGGAGTTGCAAAGCATCAGAATTAGATTTTATCATAACAAATTAAAAATCGGTAGTAAAGATATAGGATAGTACATGTATTTTAAAAAATGATTTAAATTCTTTTTTTAATTTAAGAATAAGTTATATAGCAAAACTCGTGTAGTGTGAACACAGATATAGCGAATTCATGGATATAGCGAAGATATATTGGATCCCCATCAATATGAAGTAAACAAATTCCTTATACGGATATAACGAATATAGCAAAGTAATTTTTAAGGTCCCAGTGACTTTGTTATAAATAAGTTTTACTGTATAAAGCAATTGAGTAAGATTTCTTATTTTTTTCTACAGAATGGAGAGACATCATCACCACCACTCTCAGTCATCCAGTCATGAAGCCATGGAAATTGATCTGGACAACAGTGCAATCCAACCCATCCAGCCTGTCCACATCCGACTGCCCACCTATAGCCGCCAGTCTAGCCCTTCTCCACTGAGATTGTCCAGACGTAATGCAGAGGAACAATCACACTGTGGTACATCACCTCTGAGGTCCTTGAGGGATCGTGCTAGTAGGCCTTACCCTACAAGGAGGCAAGCTAAGAGATCCAACCCACCCCAACTAGAGATGCTGCATAGAAGTGCCCCACAACTCACCACTGTCCAATCAAAGACAAAGAAATCATCTAGTAGACCAGCACAAAAGACCTCCATTCAACAGCCACAGCTTCCATCACCATATGTTACCAGATCCAGTGTTCAGCATCCCTCTCCACTTGTGAACGTGCAAGAGAAATCAAGATATCTGACAAGGTCTCAGGGGAAGCAGAGAAGGGATGAGCATTGTATACTTCATGGAAAGCTTGTTCTCAGGAAGGAAAAGCCCAAGGCTCCAAACTACCAGTCCACTCCTAAGATACCAAGATCTCAGCTGGTCAACAAACTTGTTTCTCAAGCATCAGATGCAAAACCGAAGCAGAGTCTTTCCAAACTACTTACCCAATCCAAATGCAGAACTCCCACTAGAAGCAAAAGCTCCTCCAACACAGCTGATCTCTCCACTGGTGCTAAGAGAAGGATTACAACAGACAACTCTCCAGCCAAGCACAAAAAAGGGAAATCAAATGCAACCAAAACTAAGCATGGACCAAAGGATGCAGACAGCAAGAAGACGAAGTCAGGTGGACTTATGAGGAGGATGAGAAGTTTAGCTTCCAGCATCCAGCAGAGGTTCTCTAAGAAAAGAAAGCGAGGTCAGCAGGATTTGGACACAGCAGACTCTTCAACTTGTGATGTTCCACTTGAAGTTTATCCTGGGAAGAAAACAGTACGTTTTGCAGGAACAACTGAACCAATGGACACTTCATTGCCTGTTAGCTGTTTTGGGAGTTACAAAGTAGAAATAACAAAAAAGCCTGTCAAAACAGATGGAAAACAAACCAAAGCCTTTCCAAGGAAATCTGACCAGCCAGCTACAAAGAGCAGCTTCTCCAGGGCAAAGCTTTTGACATCAACACAACAGAAGTCCACGTCAGCTAAACCCACTACCTCCTGCTGTGAAACCAAAGAACACACAACAGTTGCCATTGTATCTGCTTCTGTAGAGAAGTCCTCTCAAACCAGCACAGCTGCTTTAGTATCCAGCAGACCTGTGTTTCCAGCTGCCAAAGTCAAGCCAACTCTACCTCAGTCATCAACGAAAACAAAATCTTCACCAGCACCAAAGACAGCACCAAAAGGAGTTATATCAGTGACCACCAACTTGAAGACCCCAAGCAAGACAGCAATGAAACGATCAATTACCTACAAGATACTGTCGCCTTCCCCAATGATTTCTCTTCCAATTGCTACTTCCAAGACATCAACAGAAGCACCAGGACCATCACCAAAAGTACCAACAGAAAGAAAGGGGAAGCCACTGTCAATTTCTTCACCACCATCTCAGAAGTCAACAACAACCCTGCCATCAATGTCTTCAGAAGAGTGTGCAAAGTTCACAGCAGACACATCGTGTTCAAAACAGATTACATCAACATCAGCTAGAGGAGCCATTTCTACACTACCTGAAAATCCAGTAGTATCTTCATCAGAACTCCAAGTCCAAGACATTTCTACCACAAAGCCACAATCAGCAGGAAATGTGACAGAAAAATCACCTGAGATGTCTTTGTCCACCTCAGCATCACTGTTGACTTCCTCTTTGGAGATGTTGCAACCAGTTCCAACTATAGCAAGTGCAAATACATGTATTTCATCACAAACAACATTAGCATCAAAGCCAATGCCTCCAGAGCTCCATGCCTTGAACCTTGTGCCTTCACAATCATTGGATTCAGCACCACCTGATCAAGTGGAATCTTTGAACATTAGTCCATGCCATCACCCAAACACACTAGATGCTTCAGTGCCTGTGTCTCATTCTGCCTCGTCATCAGATAATCACCAAGCAAAGTCACATCTTCATGAAACTGATTCACCAGGAAAACATCTAGCAAGGAATCCAGTAAATCAGTACCAGATTGTAGACCAATCAACCAAATACCAGGCTATCAAGGAGATAGGAGCTGGCATGAGTGTGACAGGTCTGCCACAGATAACCACTCAGCTCCCTGTTTTTTCATCAGCACCAGCCATGTTTACTTCTCAGCAGATGACAGTGAGAAATGGGCAGAATGTTGATCCAGTCTTCAGGGGCCTGTTTACTCAAGCAGCGTCAACTTCAGTATTACATCCTGTATCCTCCTCTTTACCCTCAATGGTTGCATCTTGTCACACGAACAACTTCATGGCTGGGACACACACCAATGGAATCATGCCTTCAGCTTTATCACAGAGGATGACGTACACAACTCCAGCTCAAAATGTGCCGTCTATCATGCCTGAACCACCACTCAACAAACCATCATGTCTCTATGAGGGTGCAGAGTTCGCTAGGCTTAATCCATCCATGACTATTCAGGAACTGACCAAGCCACTGTCCGTCATGATCCCAGACTACAATCCCACGTATGGAATGAACAACTACTACTCCTCAATCTACAAACACTATGGTACCTTCCACAGTAGCTACATCCAATATGGAACTGCTAACCCAGTGATGACACAAACAGCACTGCCGAGGTTTCATCAAGATCAGCCAAATATTTCAACATGGTATTCCAATCTACAGGCATGTCCAGAGGACTTGTTAATGCAAAGAAAGGTTCCCAAGGAAAGGGCTTTTGGATCTCCAGATCTTATGTGCCACGAAACCTTTGATGACACCAATGAAGTATGCCAGACCTCAAGAAAAGAGTTGATGACACAGACTGCTTTATCTATACCAAGTGAGACCAGTCTTCCTGTGTTGTCATTGGTGGACCTTGTTGATGGCGGTATACCAATGTCCACCTGTTCCAACAAAGACTCTTCTCAGGAAACCAGTGGTATCGTTAAAGAATGGGGTGCCTCCTGCCAGGTTGATTCATCCAAGGATCAGACTTTGTCACCTTCGTGTAGTCAACCTTCAGTCTCACTATTCCAGTGGAACCCAGTTCAGCATGGAACCAAGACAAAATTGGTGATTCCCAGTATTAGCAGCAACCAAACTGAGACCAGCCTTAACACAGACATGTGCTCAATAGAGGAATTAATACAAGTGCCAAAGTCAAAGAAAAGACTCTTCCCTGATGATGCTACTTGGCCGGAAGGGAAAAGGCAGCGGACGTCACCCAAAAAGCTTCCACAATCATCTCCTGTAAAAAGGGCCCCTAGTCCTCAGCCGGCCTGGACAGAGAATTGTTCTGATTGTATCCGAGTAGAGAGAATCCTAGGGGACAGACCATACACTCTTCTGAACAATGTCAATGGTCCAGTGTTTTCCAGCAAATCCACCAAAGAAATCATCCATGAGTACTTTGATTCTCGAACCTTCTATCGGTCCAGAGGAAAGCCACACTTAGTCACACGAGATCTTGTATGGCGTCTCTTCAGTGTTTTGGAACTGTACGGAAACCGCTTCAGCACTCTGGATTCTTCTACCACTGACGCCATTCATCTGAGTGTTCTGGACAAAACCCAGTGTAGTGAACAGATGTGGAGAAGAAAATGCATCTCTTTTGTCAACCGCTCCATCCAGCAATTCTTCCGTGTTCACTTTCGCAGGTTTGAGCCCTATCTCAAACACCGGTGTGATCCTAGTTTGTGCTAAAAACCAGAAGTGACAGTGTTTGAGTCAGTGCAGGATTCATGAGGGAACTGATTCTTTATTCATATTGTGTTCATCAAATTGTTTGATTGTATTAAATTCAATCTTGGTGTCAATTGATAAAGAAAACATAAATTGATAAGGAAAATATACTGATGATTATATAACAGAATATGCTTGATTTCGAGCTTCCATATTTATCAGCTTTTTAAAATCAGTCCTTTGATCTTGCCTGTCATGTGATTTAATCGTTGCCAAAACTTGCAATATTGTGATTTTGTTTTGAGTCTTCTCAACATGTTGATCATTGTTGATATTACCTCTAAATATTGTGATTTTGTTACTTTTTAAAAAGATGTTTTGCTATTTATATTTTAGTTTTATCCACAACAAGTATTGTGTTGAGATATGTTAGATAATTCTAATGTATCACGCTTTTATCGTTACATTCCTGTCTTAATAATCTATAACATTGATTGTTGCCAAAATCTCCAGGTTGAGAATTTGATTTGTTGTGACATTTTTAAAAAGTTTTGATAGTTTATTCTGTAGTTTATAGCTTTCCATCCATAACAAGTATTATGTTTGGAGTTGTTTATTTTTTTTAATATGTAAATGATCTCCAATTAAAAACATTCAGGGAAAAATTTTATGTCTGTTATTTTCATTCAGAGGAGGACCTTGAATGAGGCATGTACTGTGAAATCACTTACTTTATATGGGGTTTAGTTTTCATGGTTTTCAAGGCAAGAAAAGACCTTTTATGCATGTACACCATGTAATTTTTCACAGATATTACTACTCATCAATTCTCCATCCTTGAAATGAATTCCCACAAACCCCTATATTTTCCTGAAACCATGAAAATTTGACCCCGTGAATATATATGATTTTACAGTAAACCGAAATATACAATATATACATGTATGTTTCATATACCGTAAATCTGGAAATTTTTACGTCGATTTTATTTTGCGAATCTGGGTAAAAATGCTGTGGATTAATTTTTACAATTTTTACGTTTCAAAATTTTGCGAATGACCACTACTTTGTTTACATTTTCTTATTGTTGAATTATTTTTAAGAAAAATATTTTTGCGAATGCAGTGAACTCGCAAATTTGCTAAAAATTTATCTACAGCAAAAATTTCCAGATTTACGGTAGTCAGTGCAAATAGGAAATTGAAAAAAAGTTTAAAAATCTCAGTTGTGTGGTATACTTGATACATCTTGTTTAGAATTTTCTTTGCTGAATTGGATGCGAAAACAAATTCTGTTCAGGAGTAATTTCATCAGAAGGCCCTTGTAAAATATTATTTGTTTTACAAACAAGAAAAAAAAAATAAATTTAATCAAGATATGTTCGTGAAACACTGATGCCCCCATATAGCAGCATATGGTTAGGGTTGAATTCTCCCAATTGCATGTCAAACTCCACAGATCAAGGTGAAAAGGTAAAAAAAAATTGGTACCAAAGGAAGGTCTTGTCACAAGTAAAACACCTTTGAAATTTGAGAGTCCTAGTTCTAACTGTTCAAAACTTTAATATGGCCAAGGAGTTTTTAAAAAGTGAGTTAAACTCTAATGTCAAAAATATTTATACCCACTGAAAGGTCTTGTCACAAGAATTACACTTAAAGTAAGAAAGCACTATCATCAACTGTTCATAAGTTATGACCAAGATATCAGTATAACAATTCCTTGTACAAAAAGGTCAAAGATGAAGGTCAAGAGGTTAAATTTGGTGGTACCTAAGGAAAGGTCTTGTTACAAGGAATAAACGTGCAATATGAAAGCCATACCCCATCCACTCAAAAGTTAAGAGCTAGGTTAAAGTTTTTGGGGACAAACAGACAGATGGACAGAGGAAAAACTAAATATACCCTGAATCTTTGTTTACGATGGCATCAAAATGTTGAGATCATCCAAGTAAATGTTCTTAAGGAAGGATGATACAAACAAAATAAACGGATGCCTGGATTGGTATATATTTTTTTGGCCTAATTTGATTGCAAATGATACAAACAATAAATTTCTCGAATATAAAGAAATTGTTAACCTTCTGTGAGGTTCAAAAGTCTGCCCTTCGGAAACCAGCCTTATTAATCTATACAAATATTTTTCAATTTAAATTCCATTTTTGTGCAAATTTGAATAAAAAATTAAAAACTAAGCGGTGCAAGTTTTTCATTTTATTCATTTAATCATGACTCAAGTTGTTATTTCCAAATTCTTTGACAAAAGTTTGTATCATATGTCCTTAATAATATTGGAAAGTGTCATAGCCTAAAAAAGTTATGGAACTCGGGTTACCGTTAAAACTTGTGGGCCTCTTGTTAATGCATTCTATGCATTTCTATGTCAAATTCTGATTGCCAATTGTAGCCCCACCCTACCCTCCAGGGGTCATTATTTGACTAAACTTGAATCTACACTAAGTCAAAAAGCTTTTTCTTCCTTTTCAATTTTTCTGGCCAACTGGTTCCTGAGATGACAATTTTAAAATATCCCAACTAATTTTTTACTACCCAGTATTTCTTATCTATCTCCCTTTGAAGAAGGTGTGACCCTTTTTTGGACAATTCTAATGCATAGAAGTTCTAGAGTTTATTGTTTATGATCATCAGTGTAGTTGTCCTACACTTTTTACAATTAAAAGAAATTAACTTCAATAACTTCAAAACATTTATAGAAGGTTCACTATATTTATTCTGTGATCTGTACATGAAAGAGATGCAATTTCTCTATTTAGCATAAAATCTTTTGAATTCGATATCCTATGCTTGGTAACACACAATGTTGATGGTGAGATTTAGAGATGATACAGCTGCACAAATGTCCCTATAAACAAGATGAATATAACAAAATTTTTGATATTGATAAAATGTCTTATTTATCAAAGTTCCATTTTCTGTGGTGTACTGCTTGAGTCACTGGATTCCTTTGGTTCTGCTGCTGCTGGCTCTTTAACACTAGCCGGTGAAGACTCTGAAAATACAAAGTGTAAAGATTCAAATTTTCATGTCAAGAGTGGTCATGCATTGCTCATTAGAACAATACACAGGAAAGGCTATCTTGTGCAATTAAAATGAAATATGCAACTAATCAATATTATCTAACCCTCACCTTTTTTCTCAGCTGTCTCTGTTTTTTCCTCACTGAAAAGAAAATGCCAAAAGAAATTAATGATAAAAGGCCAAAATTGTTTGATAGGTGAAAACAGGAGTTATTTCCCTTGAAGCAGAATTTTTCTACATTAACCAGTAGTGTCCTTTACCTTTTCTCAGCAGGTTTAGTTTCCTCTTTATTATTCTCTGTCTCTTTCTTCACCTCTTTGTCTTCTTTCTTTGCGCCTGAAATATAGAATATAAATTTATCAACATAGATATATTTGAAAATATGATTAATGTAACAAATCAATTTTGGCCTTTGTATTAAATTTTTACAAGAGTGGGCAAATTTAAGCAGTAAATTTAAAGAAGAAGGTATAATTCTTCAACAGAACTATGATTGAGTGAATTTAAAACAGAACAAAATTGCAAGCAAGTGTAAAAGTGAAAATAACCCAGATTCAGTATCCTGAATAAAGAGTAGACAACTCCTACCTTTGTCAGTTGCCTCTTTCTTCTCCTCGTTCTCTGTCTTCATCCTCTTGGCTTTAGGTTTGTAACTGGCCCGATCTTTCCTCTCCCCCTCATCCTCGCTGTCAGAGTATTCCCCCTCCCCTGTCACTCGTTTGTCACTGGCACGAACTATAATAATAAACATGATATAATCACTGTCAACCAAAAGAAGATTTTAGTATTAAAGGCCTCGGTTAGAGATTCATGTATAGAACAGGACCTAACTGCCCAAAAAACTTAGAAAAAACTGTAACACCCCCCCCCCTTTAAGAAAGTGATGTGTGCTGTCACTCTGATTGTATGAAAATTGAACTTCACCTTGATGTATAAATCTTGACTAAAAATGAAAAGGAAGTCTCATAAGCTTTAGATGTCAAAAGATTAGGGATGGATTGACAAAGTCTTATTTTACTTATTCTGTTAAAAATCTTAAAAGATAGTCAAAGGTTGCAATCAAAAAAGACACCTAATTCAACATATTGCTATTCTCTGATTTCAAGACCAAAAATATTTATTGACTTGGAACCAAGTCTATTCATTAAATTTGTGCTGTATTCCTTAGTAAGATTTTTCACTGATAAACATACTAGAAATTCTTTCATCTGGATTTTCCTTGTCTTCTTCTTCTCCACTTTCATCATTCAAAGCATCTTCAGGAATAGCTGAATAAAAGAAAGAACCCAATACACACCTTACTGAAACAGCATATTAACACATAGTGGTGATGTCAAAAAATTACAATTTAAATTTTGGCATTTTTCATGAACATAAACTGTTTCTATTTAAGCTTACCTGTCATTTGAACACCAGGTGCATGAGGCAGCATTCTCAAATTTTCAAAGAGACGTGTTCTGGGGGGATAAATGGACAAAATTACTTCAAATTCACATAGGTTTATTACAGGTATACAATTTTTAAAAACTAAATTTTCAATCTTACACTATTTTTGCTGAATACTAGATTAAAACCCCTGCTTACTTTATTTTGTCCATGTATTCTCCTGTGTTCTGATTAGCCATGTTTGAGGGACTGATGTGTAACTTAAAGTCAGGCCCGTAATACTCAAAATAATCATTGTATGGCAACTCTGAAAAGAAAAAAAATCTTATAAGCATCAAGAGATAATAAAAATAAATAAGCTATAAATTTCATAAAAAGAAAAAAACTTTTTGCTCTTGATGGAGTTTGAAATACCATTAAAAGATTCACTTTGGGCAATGTAAAACATCTAATATTCTTGGCTATGTTACACATATAATATCCCTGTGTAAAATGTTTGCATGTCATCAAATGTTTTCATACATGTATCTCCCATAGACCTAATGACTGTTCTTAGTGCCAAATATATATGTATACTAGTTAAAATCACTGACTTCTGCCAATTTTTCTTTGTATGGCATAACATTT